GATGGTGTCATGGACCTCGCGTTGAATTATGCTGGTTGTGAACGTTGTTAGCTTTGTTGTGCAGGTTTTAAATATAATACTAGTATGTTGCAGTAATTAATAAGTAACTAATATTGGTTCAGAGCATGGAGCGAAACTAATTAGTTAATATTATCGCGGTGCTCGGGATTTATAATCCAGTAACTACGTCATGACATTCTACCAAACCAACGTTGCAAAAAATAAATGCAGACGTTTCGACATAAGAACACAATTAAAGTCTGAACACCTTTTCGCCACATTAGTACAGTCGAAGTAATTTCAAAAATGTTGATCATTTTCAATGAAAATTCGGGCTCTTGTGCGTCAGAAATCTTTTTGTTTCATTTAAAACATTAAGACGACGACATATAATGTTCAAGAACCTTCTCAAGTTCAACGTTGCTGCAAAAATGAATGTCAATTTCAGAACAGAAAATAATTAAAAAAGAAGTCTAGTGTCGGAATCGAAGAATAAATTTGTAATTACAGGGGTGAAACCATATAATCACTGTGACTTCTTGCAGAAATATAGAAAGAGTGCTACGAATTTAGTCAGAAAGAAAACCGAACGAACTAAGACGTAAATTTAACTCATAAACATTTGTCTTAACAATTCAACGATACACGGTGAATGCTATGAGATCATCGGTTATTAGATGTTTGACCTCTGCGGTGGCTGTCGACTGAGGGCGTGCACATTAGTACCCAAACTCGTTTCTATGAATATAACTTTGCAATTCCCCATAGCATTGCACCTTACTTTGACTGCCTTGTTGTATTGTAAAATCGGGAAAATACATGTGGTCGAGGTTCACAAACGTGCGTTAACCAAACCCGTTCTTAAACGTCCACATATGTTGTCAGTGTTGACATTTTATCAGTGATGAAAGTCCGATTTTCGCTATTAGACAAGAAACATGAAACAAGAGACGAATATATAGTTTAGCAATACAAAAATATGTTTTATTCAGTTAAATTAAAAATATAAATCAGCTGTAATTATTAGAAAGACTGTTTCTGTTTGTTAATTCTGTGAGATCGGCTTGAAGAGTGTATGGTTTTTATAACTTGAACAACGCGTTTACATATCCTCCTTTTTAGGGATTTTAACTGTCCATACAACGTAGATCTGTTGTCACGGTTGTTTGAGCGGAAACTCTGACGACCCACATGTTTGATGTTTGTTTCACTTTGCATATGTGCAGTGTTTATGTATTGCGACGAGGCACTGTCATTCTGTTCACACAGTAACGCGGCGACATTAGCTTCCTCTCGATCAAAATAGGTCCATTGTTCTTGCTTTGTAACGTGAAAAGCGGCAAGAGTTTCATCTTGTGGTACCTGATCCGCTGCAACAACGCCACTGGTAGGGAGAGATTCATGATGAAATAGGTCGTTGTCTCTGCGACAGAGCTGTTTTCCGACAATAACGTTTCCGGTTACTCTCTCCTCTGGTAGTTTGGCGGTGACATCGTCAGGTAAACTTCTTCGCTTTTTGGCCCCTACATCGGCGTCAATGTGACCACGATATCCCGTATTACATACGTCCAACTGTTCAACCGGTGTAATGACACCTTTCATACTAGTAGACTGCATATCTCTTTTGTGATAAAGTTCGTAATCGTGATTAACGAGAGAAATGGCTCGGACTCGAGACGAAGCGGCGTTTCTTTGGCAAACAGTAAAGATGCAAAAAAAAGAATGTTTATTATTGCACTGTACATAGTAACGTGTTCCAAAAAGTCACATGACTTGCATCGCGTTCCGTAGTAGTTATTCCAACATGACGTCACATAAGCGGCTGGGCGCGCAGACCGGCCGCGAATCTCAGGCATTGCCACGTCGCCGTTCAATCTCCCATGCAGAGTTCTGTTTCTACGAATATATATGCTTTCGGTATTCTTCACACAAGGAACTCTGGGAATGAGAATGATCGTGGTTTACCACGTTCTCTTGGTTCAGAGGAAAACTATACTATGGTTCGCAGGAATTACATAATATCATAATAATGTGTAATGTCCCCTGGTAATGTCGCTTGTTTGTATAATCAGTTATATGTTGAGAACAATCGTCCGCCTGCACGGTGTTGTTGCGCTCGGACATTCCCCCCTCCACAACATGATAGTGGAGTGCTTTGCCGGAACATTCACCTTGAAAATTCAAGATGTTGAGAAATATACGCCCCACACGGTATACACATACTAGAAACCGTGAATACGACTTCCAGTTGTTGTTTTTTACACTCCGTCACAATTCTCGGGGAATGTTGTTACCTTTAAGAATAAATTCACCAACACACTTCGCTGATACCCCCACATAACTGCATAATTTCAATTCAGCTACTCGTGTATGTGCCAATAAAGTTAAATGGGTTTATTTTGACTCCAGACTTTGACCAATATTTAAAAGGGACAACGCCAAATGATCGATGTCACATCAAAAACTCAAATCCTTTATTTTGGAGGCGGTGTGTTTGGCTCTGAACTGTTTCTTTCTATCATTGTCGATTTTATTTTTAATGAGTCCCTGTTAACGATAAACTCTTTTTAAAGATATAAGCTGTAAAATTATAAAGTTCCAACATATTTTTGATTTTATTTTGACTGATTAAATGATAAACCACTTATGAAATATGTTTATTATGATAAAAAAACATGGGTTTGCACCATTCTTGTCGGGAAAAATAAGGAATTACGTTCGTTATCCTTCATCGATGAATTGATGTTGTCCCTATTATGTCGTCATTTTGCGTAATGAATCCAGTCGTTCAGAATGCCCTCCCAGTGCTCAAGACAGATTCACTAATCTATTATTCCTAGATTTTTCTCACGATAATAGACGGCATCTAGTCTTGTGTTGACTGCATTATTTTTAATTTATTTTTCACGTCCTTGGCAACTGTAGGTTTTGTTGCCTTCACAATTATAAACACAATGTTAAACTAAATGTTTTGCATTAAATTTACATGATTGGTAAATTGTAAATATATTTTCTGTCTATTTTTGTTGTTTACAGGCGAGAAGAATTAACTAGCTTAGGCTTAACATATATTAACATTCAACATAAATTATGAAACGTTGGACAAGTTTGGTAAGTATGTTCTCTGACCATTCACACATACTAGTAACATGCCTACCACTCGCACGTAATGATAATCTCGTTATCAGACATTCTTCTCGACTGCACGGCCACTTGATATTTAAAGCGGGGGATTCGTCACTTGCGCATGTGTCAGATGGCCATAGCGTGTCAATGTTACAAACAAGCGTCTATCCATGAGCCTTTGCGTTTTTAGCGTGTGTTATCGTCGCTTGGGAATCAATTCCCGCGCGTGCGCAGGTGACGACCCTTCCGCTTTATTTTTTTGACTAGAATCATATTCCACATAGTCACCTACCTACTCCATATACAACATATGACTCCTATCGGTAATAATATACATACGTGATGTCACGGCTCTGTATATATGGTTTAGTTAAAATATTGAATATTCATAGAATTTCTGCGTCAATCGCCCGCCATCGACTGAGTGCGCCAAATTAGTGATTCCTGGAGGACGCCACCAACGGCAGTAATCGGTATAGGCTTGGAGATTGGAGATCAGAGTCAACAAGTCGTCTAAACGAGCACCACTCCTTGTATCATAGCGATCAATACATGTCCCGCAAAATCACAGTTTGATACTGATAATAAGTTTGATGAACACGTTATACTCAACCTCATTTATGAGTTCGTACTTTTGAAATTACCCACCTACTTTGATTAAATCTTGGAAGGAAAGGAAGGGACGGACACCATACTATTGTTGTCACTCGTCATGTTATCAACTGATGTGTACTTTTTGTTTTAGTTATCCACTGATATCCTATAATTGCATCACGTAGCAGGACTCTTTCCTACAGTATCAATTGATTTCACTTTGATTTTAAATACACTCTGCTAGAATTTCGTTTTTGTTTTGAAATAACAAAAATGTTTTAATATGCGGCATTAGGGGGCGCTATGTATTCTGAGATTAACCAAGATGATGTCTAGACAAGTTTTGGTCTGAAATAACAGAAGTTCGTTCACCAAAACTCTTTTTATAGACATTTTCCGGCATTTAATATTCCAGTTTATTTCTTATTTATTAGTGTGTTAGCGTATACAGCTTTAGCTTGAGGGACGGGGGTCTGATTAAATTGCAAAATACATTTGATTATTTTTGAAGAAAACCAAAAATTTCGTATTGCAAAAAAGATTATCATTTTTTCCCCTTAAATTGTTCAGTCTTTCGCTATCATAATATAGTGAAAGAAAACTGTCGTAACATACTATACATACAATTACAAAAAAACAAAAAAACAAAAAACAAAAATAACAAATTTGTTGCTCTGGGTGAGTGAATCATTTCAAATAACGATATTTCATATTTCCTTTGCTTTTCCGATTATCCAAGATCGAATACAGCACATAACCAATATTTGTTTTTTGTTGGAATATGAAAAGTTCAAAATTCGTACCAGCGTTTTAAAAGACATGAGTCCATTTCAGAGAGTGTTCTTTAAGACATGCTTCCGTTTCAAGGACTGTCCGTTAAAACATGTGTCTATTTTAGAAGTGCCCATTAAGACACGTGCCAATGTTATAGTGAGTGGCCGTTAAAACATATGTCCATATTAGGGAGTGTTCCTTAACATACGTGTCCAATTTGAGAGAGGGAAGTGTCAAATAAGGGGGTGTCCTTCAAACAAAAAAAGACAATACAATGAGCATAACATTTAACCGAACAAATTTGAGAAAATAAAACAATTAAACGCTTGTATTTAGATGATTGTTTTTATTTTTCCAGACAGCAGTAGTGTAAATTTATATACCGAAATACAATTTGTTGGGGAGCGTGGTTTCTTTCTAAAAGCCGTCGATTGTGACAACTACTTCTCGTCAATACATGGCAGCCAAAATAAGCAGAGATTTCATCCATTTGACCGTTGAACTATATGTGAGTGGCATTTTGGTATCACTTCCAAATAATAATCAGATATATATTGTAACTTTCCTCAACTTACTATGGTCTGTGTGTCTGCGTTTATCATAACCTCACTTTTACCAGCATATTATTAGTTCTCAGTTGATACGCTGCAAATCACTTCACAGTATAAAACTAACGATGCGAAATATCGATAGAAAAACGCAGCTTGTGAACGGGGATTACTATATATGGTACTGAAATGATACATATCGTTGACCAATATAACAACTTTAGATATAAACATGTATAACCAAGTCACACGGGGATCCATAGATCACCTGGCTGGCACTACGATAGAAGATTTTGCGATATACTACTGTTCTGTGGTTCCAAGAACGGCGATATCTCAATGAAATAATCAGTTTCCACGCATATTACCCAAACAGTGATACAGTTTCAAGTTATATAGTTGGGTTCTATGCGATATGACCCGCATAATGATTGAAATACGTTATTTCTCGCAATCTAATTCTATCCACATGAACGGTGGTTATATCGCTCACAGCGGTAAGAATGTGATGCATTACGGTGATACTATACCTAAAATCAGCTGGATATTCCCCGGTATTTAGAGCTATACATTATGTAAGAAATTCATCTCAAAGCGATACCCAAGTAGCGCAATATAACATACACGGCGGGTGAAAACACATTATATGACTAGATCTGGTTATATGGTATGGAAAAACTGATTGTTATATTCTTCGCATCAATTTGACTAGTTACTGAATCTGGTTACATGTTATGAAAAAAATGATTGTTATAGTCTTTGCATTAATTTGAGTAGTTACTTAGGACTACGATTAACAAATATCGACCACAATGAGATTGCAACCGATGCTGCTATATATATTGTTTAGTCCAGTACAGATGACGAAACTGGCTGTGTTTTCCAGTATGCATGCACCTATTACAACCGTGACTCCGTTTATTTCGAAAGCTAGACTACATTGATCGATTCCAATATTCCACCTCAGTCATCACATGTAGACAGATTACAACTTGAAGAGATATTTATTAACTGCTATTGATTACTTCTTTTTCATCGGGTTATTGTAGTTCTCTCACTTTGTACCTCTTTCACTAAATCTGCTACCCTCCCCCATTTTCTTTATATGGCGCTTTGAATACCTACCTTGACTTAATACTGTAACAATAAACCATGTTCACCTTGAACACCGGGTGTAAGGTAATTTCCCATGGTGCCCATTTTTCATATCTGATTATTAATGGACGTTTCAACCAGAATTATATCACTATTAATCTTACAATATTTCTTTATAAATACATGTTTATGGAATTTGAATAGTTGAAATATACAAAAACAAAACATTTTTTTTTTCGTAATTGGGAGTAAAATTTTACAATCTATACATATAGTTACAATGTTAGTTTTACATGTATTGATATTTTGAACAATTATATAAAGTAGTGATAATATTGGTATGCACAAATTGCGGGAAATATGCCTTAAATATTTATCCATTTTCGGTGCTTCCGACGTTCAGAGATCGATTCATCTCCCTGTTTGTTCGAACGTCTAAAGCGGGCATTGTGTCATTTTAAAAATAATTCCACTTCTTAGATGAAATATGTCAGTTGTAGTTTTTTTTTGAATTTCTTATAATTCTAAGCATTCTCTCTGCAAAATATAAAATACAGTAATTCTATCAATATCATTTTTAGGATTTTATAAGTATATGGAAGCTCATTTTAACAACTTACATTGAAATAACTTTTGAGTTCCAGTGCAACTTTAAATATTTTTAAGCAGTTAACTTTCATAGTGTTTAGGCCTATATTATGCTAATCTGCATATACACTATTCAACTGTGGCTTTAAATAATCCGTGTATTAGAAAGTATTAGACCCATCCAGAAAATGAACGAATAAACACACAATATTGAATCGTGAATAACGATTCATGCAGCCTGAGTTTCATTCTATTAAGGTTTTGACACACCATAAATTAAGGGCTGTCTCGGCAATCTGGGAGTGCAATATAGTAACACGTTTAAACGTGAAACCTTTATATAACGTCCCGAGAACCATAACCATAACTCATATACTAATTCCTAACCGGAAGCAAAACCCATTGATTGAACCGTAAATTCCTGAATCCTCTTGTCTGTCTGCAATTATATTAAATTGCACCTTCTACTACGAATCCACATCATCTAAGATTTTTTTTACAAGTTTATTATTAAAATCAAATTATGTATAGTAATTTATAAATATATATTCTAGGTATTATGAAGGTCAGCGATAGTTTTGAATATCGGCGATTACGTAATGGAATGTTCATGTCAATTTTTAAAACACTTAGTAAGTTTATATGATATATATTGAAAATGGTAATTGGTCATCGTAGTCTCTCGTCCAAGCAGTGCAATGCACGGTTTGATAATCGAACAACTAATTTAGAACGCAGTTAATATTAATTAAATCAACAGGTGAAAACATTGAACCGCCCTCTAGCGACGAAACGCATCTATGATATCAACGAGTGAAATTTAGCTCCTCAAGACCCTACTCAAGACGATTTTCATTGGTTGTGTAGTCGTGCGTATTTTTATCAACTCTCTCAACTGAATGACAACGTCATACCCATTTTTTTTCTATCGACGCCACAGCAAGGCGTGATCACTAGGCGGTAACAAGGAGTTAATACATATTATGGGATAAGTATAAATTAGAAAAATGTGTTTTAGGATTATCAAGAAATCTACCTCCATGTCATAATAAAAATTGTCAAAGTGTTGTTTATTGATGAACGTTTCACAGTCTTCGAATATCGGCGCGTTCGACGGAACTTCGTGTAAACAAACAATGTATTTAAGATATATTGCTACACACATTGTATACGTCGCTGTTGGTTCCACGCCGAACACGACGCCTTGTGAGTTTTTAGTACCACGTGGTATTCAATGTCAATGTCATTTGTTACAGAGACGCCGTCTCACATCTGCCAAGGAAGAAGATAAAAAGAAAGAAAAGGAAGATGTCAAGTCTAAGTCTAAAAAACGCGAAATCGCCGGAAAAGAATCGCCAATTAAGGATCGAAAAACTGGTTGTCATGAGTACGAGGGGGTATGTTTACCAGTGACTGTTACCACGGCATCGCTTGACATGATAAAAATGTTGGAGATACGCGATGATGACGTATGGGTCTTAAATTACCCAAGATCTGGTAAGTGTAATTTACACATATACTTAACATCAGAGGCTCATTGGCGCACTACGAAATTGACCTGCCTTATACTGCTGGCTAATTAATATATTTTTTTTCGATAGAATTTTTATTTTAGATTTTATTCTTATCACCTGCATAGTGATATAATTAATTGATATAACCTTTAATTCGTTCCTTACAATAGTTATCACGATATTATCGAATATTACAGAATTATTATATTTAAGGAGATTCGGGCCTAATTAAATATTATTTGTTGCTCTCTTCATTTTCCATAATTATTTTGTGAGAATATCATACACTATTATACATCTGTCACCGTAACGCCATAAGTTACAGCGTGCCGTAATTTTGTAGTATTTTACGGGGGTATTTTCATCCTACCATATAAGGAATTCCAAATATGGAATGATTACGTTTGTAAGCGTCCTCTAATAATAAAAACAAACATGGCCGCCACAAGGGTTCGACCGGGCTCCACACAAAGAAGTTTGCTGATTCTGTTCTAAACTTTTTGGATTGAGGTATCCTCGTAATAATATTATTTTGAGAAGCAAGTTACAAATTGTAAAAAAAAACACTTTGGAGGCTATATTTCATACCGTTACGAGGTCAATGTACTGAATATGTTACATTATAATAATATTTTAAAACAGGCGGTTTGTGGATCCAAGAGATTGTTTCTTGCGTCATAAACGGAGCTGACCTTGACTCCGTCACCAACATCCCAATTGCTGACAGGTTAATAAGACTGGAAAATATGGAGAACAATAAAAATAACGCGCCTCAAATGTTTGAGAAAATTAACAACATGGAGTCTCCAAGGATGATTCGCACCAGTCTGCCTTACCATATGCTGCCGTTCCAGATCCATTCCAAGAAACCAAAGGTAATTGAATTGTTCGGAAATGTACGTAATACTTCACCAGTAATACACATTTCCACTAATTTAGATTCTGTTTGTATTCGCTGGTTCTAGGACTTGCTTTCAAAGCCTTTGAGTTACATATATTTCTGTCAAACTTGGGAATTTTGTATGCGTATTTTTTATGCGTATTTTTTGTTCTGTTAATTTCGTATTAGTTGGTCCCACGTTTGTTTTGTACTACCCCCCCCCCCCCTCCCCGGCAATTTGACACCTGTTCATTCAGTGTAATTGTTAGATGGTTCGATTATTTTCTTCATCCGTGGCAACTAAACATTCTGCCCGTTGGAATGTTTGAGTTGAGACAGGCTTGTATCAATATTGTTCCCACAGTGGGTTTTTAACGTCAGTCTACAGTCAAGTACATCTTGGGTCACAATATCCCAAGTTATCGCGAGGTTTCACGGTATTTTACACTTACGCTTTTGATTCGTTCTTGCTGTAGTTCTCCCTCGAAGGTTCTGATTGATGGTATTTAAGATGCAATCGGAAAAGTCTTCTCTTTGAGGAAGAGCTGATTTATTTCGCACCAATTCTTTATATGCGGGATTCACACACGTTCTATTAGAATGTATTAGAATATCCATTCAGTTCATAAGCGTGGTTTGCATCAGAATTGTTATCGTCACAAATTCTCGAATCATGGGAAAATAGTCGGTTAAAGTTCAAAGCCGCACTCGCCTTTCGCGTTCGACATGGACTCATTATGACGTATGCAACGAGTGTAAAATACATTGTTTGTCTACATGAAATACGAACACGTGCTTGACATTGACATTGGTGTTTTATAAGACAGAATATATAACTGGCGACATCATTTTACTCTTTCTCGGTTTTACAGAATTCGTTGTATTTTCTTACAATCCATACACTGAGATGTACCGTTTAAAAGTTTTTGTATCATTTATATAACTTCCAGATCATCTACATGGCACGAAACCCCAAAGACGTCGTTGCGTCTTATTATCATTTTTACAACAGTGATCCTGTACTGCCAACGACTACCTGGGAAAAATTCATTGAAGAATTCATTAAAGGAAATGGTAAGAGATAATGCAAAAAATGAACATGTATATCCCTGCACTTAAACTGAACCACTTCTGGTCATTTTGCTCTGTTTGTGGGAGATAGACGACAATAACACAAATGAGATGGAATGAAAGGCCAAGTATTCTTGACATTTATTGAAAAAATTAGAGGCTTGTAAACCTTAACAAATCCCTCGCCAGTTTCCTCAAACTGAAAGATTACAACAGAAAAACCTCCAAGGAGGTCACAGGTCAAAGGTCAACTGGCGAGGAAAAATTTCAAAACAATAAATCAGTGAAAATTAAGCACAAATTAATCTCCCACAAAGGTGTGGGCCCCAGAAACGCCCACACCCACCTGTGCCATAATTACAATGGAGGTGCACGGGGTGGTGGAGAGCGACAAAAATTGTAGAAGAAACAAACTGCAAGCCGGCAAGTCGACGGTGTAGTTCAAAAGAGGTGGATCAATGTTGCTGCCCCCCTCTAAGGCACAATTAAACAAGAATGCGTCAGCCATAGAGGGCGCTCTCCAACTGGTATTAAACTACAATTGCATGTATATAAATCTGATTATCTGTCTATAATCTATGCTTTATTACAAGACTGAATACGTTGATACTGTTTTGCGCTTTCTTGACGTGCGAAGGACGCCACTAACGGTGACTGTACTGTTTTGAAATGAAAAATCTAAATGACGAAGGACTACACAACCAAACAGGATTTGACATCACACTAGTGCTTTGTCGCGATGTTTACTAACATTTAAAGGGTGGTGGTCGCCGCGCCGAGTATGTGCGTTCGTGTTGATAAGCATTGATTGTCCCACAATGCAGTGCTATCTTCTAATGAAAGCACAAGTACGAGTTTTTACTAATTACTGCCTACACTAAGTATGCGCAGTGCACTGCTAACACTTATTTTAGAATACGGATATATAAGTTCTACAGACCACTCCTTTATTGTATGACATCCCGTATGACCAGCAGCTAATCAAAACTCGTGTTACAGACTGCTTTCTAGATTTCTAGTAAAATGTGCTTTTAGTGGCTCACAAATCCCAAAAGAGGGGAGTTGCCTGAACACAATCTGCATTGGTAGGTGGTCAGATACAGTCAGAAGCAATGTACATGCGCGACTCCACAATGTGAAGCGACCGAAGCCACTAGCTATGTCGCATTTCAATGATACTTTCTCTGAATACTAACATACTTAATGAATTTATTTACAGTGGCGTTCGGTTCGTGGTTCCCTCATTTATCGCCTTGGTGGCAGGAGTATAGAACCAGTAATAATGTCCTGTTTTTAAAATATGAAGATTTAAAGAAGGTAATTTGAAGCTTTTTTCTTGATAATTAAATATTCCAATCAGAAACTATTTGCATAACATGCAGTCGAAAAAACACACAGACTAATTACTTAATTACTATACAACATACATACATACGACGAATATCGGTACCGCGCCGAAACTTGTGTGTAAACGGTCGGGACCGAGTCGGCACGTGCAGAAAATAACTCGATCTCAGTCCCGATAGATGCTTGGGACCGAAACTCGGCACGTGCCATTATTTGCTGCCCTGAAGCTTGGCACGAAACAAAATTACAACCTCGGTGATGACTTTAAGAAAACATATAGTGATTCATACTAGTATGACATGACGATGGAGGAAAGTGGAGCTTTATAAACGTCGGATGCTGTAGTAATGAATGAAATGAATGCAAACCGTCGTCAGCGAGGCATATTTATGTGCTGCTTCACCGCTATTTCCTTGCAATGCTACATGGACGTGAACAAATATTTTTTTCGAATCCTCTTTGCCGTTCATGTGCACGATTAGTCATAATAAATACCATAACAGCAAATGGATATAATTTCAATATAGCAATTATTATTATCATCATATGCGTATCGTTTTTCCATGTTTGGGTTAAATAACAGATCGACGAATGGGGGTGTGATTTCGGCACGAGCCGAGTGGGTCTCGAAGTGGGAACCGACTAATGTGAACGCAACTGGTATTTGGGTAAAAACTGACATCTTTTTAATTATTTGCAGGATTTACGCAGCATAGTTATTCAGATCTCCCTATTCCTCGACAAACATTTCGAAGATGATCAGATTGAAGCCATTACCAACCACTGTGGCTTTGATAATATGAAGAACGCAGCTGGAGATGCTGATGCAATGATATCAACTTACCTTAGAAAAGGTATATATTATTGCTGCCTAAAATTAAGACAAAACATTATATTTTGATGAAAATTTACCATGTGGGTTGTTCAATGGTCAAATACTCTCGCTTACAGTGATTTTTGGGTCCTATATTATTGATTCCTGGTAAGATGAAAATGTCTCACATATGGTGAAAGATGGATATTTACTAAATCATTTTTTCAAAAATGCTGATGACTTATATTAACTTCTGTGAAATAATGCCTGAACAAGAATTCATCTGAATATATTTAAAAAAAATACCAATTTTCCCGCCAAAGTCTTGCTGGGAGTAAGAGAGTTATAAATTGTACTTTGTTCTTTCCCACCGCCGCGTTAACTGTTCCAGATACAATGGATCAGAATTGTTCTCATGGTATTAGATAAAACCCGATGTTAACATATTAATTGATTAATTCTTTTTTTCCTCGTCTTCTTTTAAGGTATTGTTGGTTCATGGGAAGAACAATTCACAATTGCTCAGAATAAAACATTCGATCTCGAGTGTGATAAGCATCTCTATGGAACTGGTCTTCGGTTCGACTATGAATCTTTTAAAGTGGAATAGAAAGTGTATATTAGCTCTGTTGAAATTGTAACGTGTATAACAGCGCAGAGTTGCAGTGTTTCAAAAGTCTAATATAATTTACATTTACACAAACTATGCACTGAGTGGTTAATTACAGTGACAATGTCACTACAACTGCGCATGCGTCCTATGACATGTAAAATCACATCATCAGTAAACAAAGAGAATATTCTGCTTCTTTACCGGACGTAAGTTTTTAAAATACAAATAGATACAATCAAATTAAGTCTTGCAGTCAATTACAGACGAACTCTCTTTTTAAGACATGGTAGAAAAGGTGTATAACTCATGATAATTTTAAACGTCAATTAGAAACATAACAATTGCAGTTGTAGCGACAATGTTTCTTCAAGAAGAAGACATTAACATATCACATTAATTTATAGGATACACTAATTAATTAGAGTTTAATTTTTATTCCAGTTTTTACATTATCATAAATTAAGGATTATTTCGGTAATTAGGGCGTATGTTACAATAAGACGAGAATATCTTATCTTAAACATCTAATTTATAAGTTAGAATTGTTCTTTCTATCATATTCAATAAAAGTTATCAAATTATAATATTTCTTAAGCAGCATTTAGCGATATTTCACATTCATGCTTGACGATTGGACAACCACACGCAATTGTCATTTTGATATATTGCTGTCACCAATTCTACGTTATTTGTGGAGAAACGCTTCGGCGACAGATAACACAACTTTTTTTGTTTCATTCGAATAAAGATAGTTTCAGTGATGCTTCTTTTTTGAAGAGATATTCGTTCATTTATCATCTAGAGAATAATTTGTTTTGCAGCTTTAAATGCTGAACTAACACAGATTTCGTATCCTGTTCACCCTATTGCGATTAAAATAATTAGTTATTTTATAAGCCGTCATTACATCCACGGTTTCGGTGATTCATTTGTAACTACATTCTGTAATTGTTACTAATTTCACAGACGATTCAGGTCGTGGCCGTTTCACAATTCATGCAAGATCGTCACTAGACATAAATGAAACATTTTTCTGTACGCCGAGAAGTTGAGGTTGGGAGAATTTGCAATGTTGTCGCAAATATATGCGGTTTTATAACACACACCTATTTCAACTGACACCCGAAACTACCATAAATGTTCAAATTACTATAATTCAAGATATGTCGTGTAAAATCAGCAATAGCTTTATTGATATTTGCATATTTTGTGATGTCAAACATAGTGTTGCATACGACTTATTTACCACTTCCGTGTCACTGAGAATGTTCTAGAACCGTACTGTGTCTGGGTGGAATATTCTAGATTTTGTTTAGAAACTGGTTGAATAGGTAATAGAACACTGTAGGAGGCATTAGAAGGTAATGGAACATTCTAGAAATTGGTAGTAAATTCAAGACTCATTATGTATGCTGATGTAATGGTCTATTTATAGACAGTGTGGGTATATATAGGGGAGTTGTTCAGCACTGAGTTCAGATCGGAAATCTCGTTGAATTGTATTGGAGTTTAAATATCTAGTTATTGGAGTAGTGGAGTTTTACCGCGTTATTGTACTTGATGTTTGCAGAGTATAATAATACCAGTACCAGTTGAAACCTCATCTGTTGGCTCCGTGTTCGTATTTTATCATCGCCGCCAGGGAAGTCTTTCTGTTACTGTTGCCATTTTGGTATTTGAACCATCACACCTGTACTATACCAATTACGGTAATATTACGTTGCTTGCATAGACCAATGTATATTATTGTTAATATTATTATTATTATTATTATTATTATTATTAATATATAATTTATATCAGGAGTATTATCATATTGTTCATGACTGGTTATTAAGAGTTATTGTTGACTTTAACTACCATATTTGACTTATAATTGAATGAACTGGTGGAAATAGTTAACTTTTATGTTCATTAGTTGCAATATAACCTTTGAACTTTAGCTCACGTGACGGTAACACCTAAACAGAATCATCAATAATTGTACAATTGTTTCTTCCAAAAATAATACACTTCGTATAATATTTAAAAAAAAATGTGTGTAATAAAACAGTACATATACTAATGATAATTTTTTTGTTCAGCTCATCGATATACGAGATGCGTTCAATAAGTAATGTCCCTGGCCCATTTCCCATAGCAGGGGATTAATGAAACTTGGCATATAGTCCAGTCATTCTAGCAAAAACAAGGGGCCAACCCGTCACAAATTGCATCACAAATAATTTCTTCACAGTGCTTTTCGGAAAGGTATCTAGATTGACATACTAAAAGTCTAGGAAAATCTAGGCTTCCGAAATATACCTAATTTGCATATATTCAAAATGGCCGTTTCGCAAATTTTTACAACAAAATGGAAATATAACTATTTGGACATATCTTTAATTCTAGATGGGATATTTAACAAAAATCATGATGCTATGGTACTGTTTTGAGTCAGGGAAGGTATGAGAGTGCTAAATGTGTTGATTGGGTAACTGAAAATTAGCATAAATCTAATATGGCCGCGATAATATAATTATTTAATGTAACTTTTCTTCCGGCTTTCCTTCTATGTGACATAAGTAATAAGTTTAAGATGCTAGAATATTTTAAACAGAATCGTACAGTACAGAAAAGATGTAAATAAATGATTTCCTGGGTAGACGGATGCTTCGTCTGCATGAATCCAACATGCCGTCCCATCTAAAAGAAAAACTATAGGAATGAAACACCTTGGTTGGATCTACAAATCTGCTATACTATATACACAATAGACCATTTAAACGTAATTTTTAACTCTATAAACTATATTATTGATTTAACAAACTGTATTAAATAGTTATAATTCTGTCAAAAAGTTTATTGTCTGAAACATGTAATTGCTAATCGTCATCCCTATCTTCATCAGATATCTGGACTACATTTGTGCATCCAGAACCTCGATATTGACCACAATCTGCAGAACATTCAAGGTTGTACTTTCTGCAGGTACATCTGAGACTGCGACAGTCTGTGGAGCAGTTGCATCTCACTATACTAAGAGAAATTCAGGGGCTGCCTTCTTGTCAGTAATTACAGGAATGACGATCGATTGTGGATCGCGTCCTGGGATTTGCTTCCTGACGAGAAACCCGATTCCTGTCTTTATCACGACTTGATTGTCCATAAAGACGACATACCTGTCCGAGAATGACAGGGCCCCTAGTTCAGCCTGACGCCTACCTGAGGCGAGGGTGAGTAGGAAGATTGTTTTCCACGTCAAAAGTTTGAGTGGTGCTGGTCAGAGAGCCTCAAAGGGCAGTCTGCCACCTGTGTCAAAGTGCAGATGCGCTCCTGTTGAAGTTTCTCCAGTACCCGGTGAATAGCAGGAAGGGAGGAAACCTTACACGTCCATGTGCGTTCACGTGGTTCGACAAAGGCTCCTGGAGTCGGCAGGGGTGTCGTGTACGTCAGGAGCTTGGTGTTCTGGGGTGTGAGGAATAGGTCTAACATTTGACCGTCCCACCGCCAAAACACTCTGAAAGTTACCAATTGGGGTATCCATCACTCCGTGTTCTGGAGATGTAGCCGCCATGAGAGGCCATACGCTTGACTGTTTTTTGCCCCTGGAAAGGTGGTGTGTGGCTAGCTCCACATTGTATTCCAGGTACTAAAGGAGAATTTTCTCCGCTAGGACTGACAATGATGGGGACCTGGTCCCCCTCCTTGTAGCTATAGGAAACCACCGCTGTGTTGGCCGTGCGAAGCAAGACTCTGTGATCTCGAACTAAGTGAAGTAGTGCTAAGCAGTTCGAGCCATTTGATATGCCAGTCCTGGATCTAATGCAGGGGCCATATTTTCTATTGGGCTTGTTGGTGCAATAGGTGCGCTCCCCAAAATGTGAGGGAGGTATCCGTTTCCAGAGTCATAGGTTGGCAATTGCCGAACACCAGGGTAAGGCATTCCTCGCTTGGTACGACAGTGTTACTCATCTCTGCGAACCGCTGACATCATTCCAATGATCCGCATTACTTCTCAGAGAGACACAGAGGTAACGCTGACTAGGTGATCAGTTAGGTCATTAAGGCAATGGGCCTGAGGTGACCGTACCAAGCCCACCTCTCTGTCGAACTCCCTGGTCAAGAACACCAACTGTTGTGTTGGATAAGGGTGGGACGATTTACTAGGAAGCACAACTGGTCTAGAAAATTTGGTGTTAGCCTTACTGCTTGACTAACCCCTTGTTGGGTTGTGTAGCAACCAGCCATCTAGGTACACGTTGATGTGTATCGTTGTGATGTGTACCGGCACAGCAGTAGCACCACCTGTTTCCACAATCAGGTGAATACATATGAAGCCATGCAAAACCTCAAGGGACACCCTGCACTCGACTACTTGACCCAACTGGGCGAAGTATGGCTCTAATCTAGCGAGGCTAACCAGTAGAAACAGAGCAGTTTCCAGGAAGCTCATACTGATTTGGTCTGCTTAAGTCCATGGGGCACAGCCACCTGTAGTCTCAATTATAATCTTTGGAACCACCAATACTTGCAAGTAGAAGCCCAGACTTAATGCTGAGTGCCCTATCCTGTGTATACCGCCTTTTGTAAGCAAACTATCTACTTCCTGTCGGATTGCTCTTGCTTTGTGGGGATCCCCTAGTAGTGCCTCCAATGGAGGCTGGTGCCAGGGGGTGGAGATTGCAGCGGGATCTTGTAGTCATGTATCACCACCTGGAGAGTCAAGGGATCTGTTATGCACTGCCTCCAAACTGGAATACACGGGCACAATGAGTGCGATAGAAATGTGTGGGTTCAGTGGTTCCACATCTGGGTGATCTCTCCTCTGCCGAGGTGAGACCCCACGAGGCCTGTAGAAGTCGATAGGTTCTGACTCAGCCTCCCGCCGAACATATGCCCATCCCCCTTGCCGCATGCGGAAGCATCAAACCTGCTTCCCCTGTGTACTGGGTAGGCGACCGCCGAGGAAGAGAGGGGGGACCAACACCTTCTTCCTGAGGGGAGCGTCGCCACTCTTCCCTCCCCCAGAAGAGCTGGGAACCTTGCCTCTTGGCCACTTCTGGCCATTGGGTGTCGACTTTGGTCGTTACGTTTTCTCAGCTTGGGGTCATTACCGCTTGCCTTAGCAAGAGCCTAACTGGCTTGCAGGTCCCACCTGTACCAACTGGCCAGTGGGTCTAAGAGGCTGGTGCGTCCCGCCATTGAGACTTCAGAGTGATGGTGGCGCAAAACAATTCGTTTCAGTTTGCTGGCCACAACTCAAAGGTTGAGGGTCGCCACTCTGCAGTCAGTGCATGGATTTTTCCGAATAACCGGTCGAAATATTTGATAAATGGGGCCACCCATTTTGCCCGCCCCACTGAACCAAAAAAATCGTGGTACCAGGGTTGGGGGAGGAACTGAAAAATCCGATCAGAACGCGAGATGTGACTCCAGACTCGGCTTGCTCCGGTCTCAAACACTGCTTGATCGGGTTGCGCTTGGTTAGGTGGAAAAGGTTGAGCATAAAATGTACCTACCCTAAGGACTTAGGCCTCTATCCCACGGGGACAAGGTCCGCCCATCAATACCGTCTATGCGTTGCCCCTACGTCCATCACTCGTCCATCACTTTCATTCCATCAATGAAAGTGAAAAAATTAATTTGGGCAGAATAACTGCTGAAAACAAAAATTTACAAATACAGTTGGAAAAACAATTTAAACAGTACTGGAAAGAAGAATTGAATAATGATCGAGAGGGTAATAAATTGAGAACATACAGAAAATTTAAAAATAAATTTGAATTAGAAAACTATTTGATATCACTGAAAAATGTTGAATTAAGACAAGCATTATGTAAATTTCGACTAAGCAACCACAATTTAAAAATAGAAACAGAACGACACCTGTAAAAGAAAGAGTATGTGAACTTTGCACAAAAAAACAAATAGAAGACGAACAACATTTCATCATGACTTGTCTATTTTACAATGACCAAAAAAAATTAATATTTGAGAAATGTAAGAAACAAATTAATAATTTTGATAATTTTACAATTAATGAACACTTTGCACTGACAATGAGTTATAATTTTACCTCATTTCATATCACACTCGGACAATTCATTAAAACTGCCCTCGACTTAAGACAGCAACACCTCCAAAATATTAACCCTTAATGCATTAACGCATCATTATTGTTATTACTTTTTAAACAATGGTTTCTTCTACCTTTATTATTGCTGTTAGTGGGATTTATTACTATTCATGTTTTTTTTAAAGTTTTAATTCGATTATTATTATTATTATTTTTAATCATTACTTTAGTCTTAATGTTTTGTATTATTAGTCTAGTTTTGTTTAGTGTAATTGTAACCATTTTAATTCCTCCTGGGGAATTTTACGTGTTTAATAAAGTATAAGTTACTCGGCGGGATCCAAAGCAATACCGAATGCAGGACTCTGGATCCCGGAAGTGACAGTCCTACCGTGAGTGATTGTTTCAGCATCGAGTGTGGGATGGGGATGGAGGGTTTGGTTGAACATCGGGTAACAAGAATCGATATTCACTCCTCACCCCACGGCGTGGCTTTCGGAGTCATTAAGAGGAACAGACTCCGAGGGGCCGCCCGAGGTTGCACATTTAATTGCAACTATTTTGACGGCCATATTGGATTTATGCAAATGGAATTGTTAATCAATTAAATGTTTCACAATCACGTACATTCACACACATCAAACCATGTCGCAGCAACTTGAATATCTAAAAAATGTCATCTAGAATTAAAGATATGTCCTAATAGTTATATTTTCCATGTTGTAAAAATGCACCAAACAGCCATTTTTAATTTATGCAAATTAGGTATATTTCCGAAGCCTAGATTTTCCTAGACTTTTAGTATGTCAATCTAGGCACCTCCCCGGAATGTATTGTGAAGAAATTATTTCTGTTGCAATTTGTGATGGGTCAAACCATAAATTGACTGGACTACCTAATCACTGAGTCAAGTTTCGTCCAGGACCTCATATGAGCCTAAATGATGAGAGATATAGCACAGCCATTCACTAGTAACCAGCTAACAAAGTCGGTCAACAGATACGCGTAAA